CTAATTTTATTAAAATTGAAATATAACTATAATGTTTTTTATGATATATATGAATATACACATTTACAAATATTTTTCAGATACTTTGTTCTGTTAATTGTAATCTTCGAATTAACATTCCATGTTATTCTACTTTACATGTTATTCCAGTATTCAAATTTTTACTGAATCCTCATTTAAATCATATCAATTTTCAATTTTTCGATAATCTAATATATAACAGCAAATATTTTTTTTTACATTTCTGGACATTACGAAATCATCTTCCATTAAATTAAAATTATCGATTAATAAGAAGATATTAAATTTTAAAAATATCTTCGTTTTAGATTTCTTAAAATAGCATCATTGAATATTATAAAGATATTTCAAGAAATAGTTCAAGAGAAATTAAGTAAAAGAGAAATGACAGAAAATCAGAAGAGTTTAATGTGAAATCAAATTATAAATACAATATTGTTTGGAAGAACATAATTGGAACGACATACTTGCATCTCGAAGGTCTGTATGCAATGTACCGTGCATTACTAATGCGGAACCACATAACACACATTCTTTTTTATTCATGTAGGCTGGCTACTGGTGCGAAAGCATCTTGTAATTGAAAAAGTTGCTACTGTTAAAATGAACGATCTGGAAAAGGATCCCATTGTCGTTTTTCAAAGAAGGTGAAATATAATTTTGTTTTTAGCCCAATATTTTAATATATTTCTTAAATAAATTTAGTTATTTTTTAATTGACATTCCATTGAATATGATTCAATGGAAAACTTTGCTTATTTAAATTAAACTTATTTATAAAATTAGCTGAGATTTTAGTGAAGAAAATTTGAACAAGAAAATTATAATAATCAATGTCTGTTTGAAATAAAAATAAATAAAGAAAATTAATTCTAATGAAAATTGTAAATAAATTTCTTTAAAATTTTAGTGTAAATAGTAATAGAATAGTAATTGAAATTGTACTTATACATATATTTTTCTTTGACGAAAATCATAAATAACAAATATGATTTAAATTAATTTATATTTAAAATATTATTCAATGTACATTATTTAAAATAAAGTAAAAATATAAATTTAATGAATTAATATTTACTTTGATAGTAACTAATATTGATAGAATTAAAAGAAAATTATAAGAAAACACATTACAAGAAAAATTAATTTCAGAAGAAAATTTGAAAAATTTTTTAATAATTTATGATTAGAGATTCATTTCAGACAAACTTTTTAAAATTTATTTAAATTTATTACTATTAAAATTTATTATTCTTAAAAACCCATTATAACTCCTGTAATTAAATCGAATAGAAGTTCTTTAGAATGTTAAAAAGTGTTTAGATATATCTTTAATATTTTTATGGATGATTTTTAGATCGTATTATGTATTGCTTCTGCTCGTATGCTCCGTGATTCTGATAGGAGTACTCTGTTACTTTTGGAATAAACAATTAATAAATTCCTGGCACATGAATTTAATAAGATATATGTATACTTTGAACGCATGGTTGATAAACTCCGCTGCTCATATATGGAGCATGAAACCATATGACGTGTAAGAAATAATATTTATATATTTGTATTTCCTTAGAAGCATAGTAATAATAATTATATTGCAAAATTCATTTTTAGTTCAATTGATTTCTTCAAAATTGTAATTGAATATTACATTTTTAATAATATAAAATTCATAAAATTCCATTTTTTTGATTTTTTTTTTCATGTTTTCTTTAATAATTACAAATATTACATTAAATTACATCTTATATAAAATAGCACTTATTTTTCACTATCTTCATCTGTCAAAAGTTGTAATGATTGTAATGATGTACATTAAATTATTTGATGTACATGATTTTACAATTTTTAATTATAAATATAAAAAACTTATCTTTTTTCAATTTTATTTTGAAGTTATAATATGTCGTATTGAAAAACTGGATTGAAAATTTAAATATATAATAAATTTTTCACGAAAAGCAAATATTTATTTATTTCATATACATACATAAAAAATTTCATTTAAATAAAAAATAAAATTTCATGAATTTCATGTAAAAGAAATATTCAACCAACTGAAAATCTGATAGTACCCATCCTTGCTTGCGACGAAAAATGGCATAATTTAATTGTCAATGATTTAAATATTGAATGAATGTAATAAATATTTTAGATTTTTAATTTTCATTATTTCTGTTATAGAAATTAAAATCCATTGAAATTTTATTTGTGATTTTATTATTGAATGTTGCCATTCAATTTCATCAGTTGGTATCTTTGTTTTTCTTCGATACGCATATTTCAAATCTTTTGTAAATGCGCAATATATTTAATTATGCATAATTATGTATAATTATGCATAATGAAATATATTTATTCAGCCAAATCCATATATTTTATTTATGATTTTTCATCAATATTCAAATATTTCAAATTATTTTAAATTATTTTTTATTTTATTATTTTTTCTAATTCTAAATTTTAAATATATTTATACTTGTATTACTTTATGAATATTATTTGAATTTAACTGGTCGTATGATAACATTTGTATCGATAGTTTTACTTTATTATATTATTTTTTAATAACGGTTAGCATTTTTTCTATTTGATTTTAATGGTTTAAAAAAACAATTATTTTGAGAAATTAATTTTTTCTTTATGCATAATCGGTTTTAGTTTTTCAATTATTTGTAAAATATTGATATTATTATTAGTTCTAATTGTTTCGTAGACCTATATAAAATAATAAAGTATATAGTATATAATAATAAAAATGATTTATTACAAAGTTCTATTATGCTATTTTAAACAATTAAAAGCAAAGTCCATATGTAAAAAAGTTTATATACATCATTGAATATGCAAATTCATAAAGAGTTGTTATGATTAATCCAACGTTTTAAGAAAGTTCAAAAGTTCAAGAAGAATTTAAAAATTTAAAAATTAGAAAAGTTTTTTTATTCCGCATTGTTCAATAATTTGAATAATTCAAATATTAAAAACGTTCTTCGAATCTTTCTTCGACTTAGAGTTATTATATATTCTAATAATTAAAATTGTTAAAATCCATAGTTTAAATTTTCTTTTATAATTGAAAATGTTAAAATTGTTTTCTTTTGTCTTTTTGATTTTTCAATATGACTGATATCGTTGATTGGAATAATTCAAAAGTTTAAAACATTCCAATTTTTCCTTAAATTTATAAATGTTTGTGCCCTTTGAAATTTTCTCCATGTTCATCTCGAAGAATCACAGATCGTGATGAGGCACCATGAATGAACTTTCTGGTTATGCGACAATCTCAGCCCAAAAAAAATTCTTAGAATCTTAGAATTTTGTAAATATAATCCATTGGTTCCAAAAGAAATTGATCCGTGATGTTTGTAATAAATTTCTTTCGAGTGACAATGATCGTTATTGAGAATTACTATGATTGGAAAACGTTGTCTCTAGCTACGATGAAGATATTAAAATATCTTCTAAGAAATACTTAATTATTCTATTTGTATTTATTATTAGAATAGTATTTTTTAAGAAATATACAATTATTTTATTTATATCTGTTATTAGAAGATTTTCTAAGAAATATTACAATCATATATACAAGAAATAAAATTGTTTAAATAAATTTTTTCTCTTAAAAACAGTATTGACTTCACGTAATACTTCACTTTAGACTTTTGTGAATATCTTAACAATTGTAATATGTTTTGAATTCTGTTTATACACGTGACAATATATAAACGACGCAATTGTCGACGCAATTTTATACGAATATTTTCGCATCCGCAGAATACGAATAATAAAATAAAATATAATACAACCATTGAAAGATCAAAATTAAAATTACAATTTCTACAATCATCAGTCTGATATTTAGTTTTCTGTTATTAATATACATATGCATTGATCGTAATAGATAATTAAAATAAGATAATTATCAGAAAAAAATATTTCTTTGCCAATATTTGGAACAAATAATAACGAAGGATAAAGAATAATTTTCTATAATCAATATAAAAGGCGGATTTTATAACACGAATATGGTTCTTTTTTTATACGTATCATTAAAATAGATTGAATATATCCAAATATCTTTTTTTAAAATTGATTTTGCAAATATTCCAGAGACATGTGAAAAAATGATAACTGAAATGATGTTATCACCAATATGATATCCAAAATTGCTGGAATAGCTACTCCTTCTATCACTAAATGTAGCACAATTTCTGTTCGAAAAATTGGTATATAAATTTATTGGTCAGTACTTTATTATTTTCATCGCTAAATGTGGCCCAATTTCTCTTCAGTAGTAGAATATATGACATATTATTTCCACTGTTATTGCTAGATTGCTAGATAAAAATCTGAATTTAGCTAAAAACTTGGAAAATTCATTGTAAAGGAATGGAAACACAAAAAATATAATCATATAAATCTCACATAGAAAATAACTTAAATGTAATTCGTTTTCGCTCAATATAGATAAAGTATGTTTAATTACATTGTATTTTGAAAAAAAAGTTTACTCTTTTTAATTCTACATATTGATGTAGTAAATAAAATATTCTATCAATTAATATTTTTATTTTTTCTGATGATTGATAAATTTGTTAAATTCTTATTATATCTAGCTAATAATAATTTTTCATATTATTGTAAATCGAAAATAATAATATTTGATAGAGATTGCGTTTTTACATTAAAAAGATTTAATGATTTTTAGAAACATGTGATATAAATAATATTAAGATAGATATTGATTCTTCCAAAGCAAATTGTAAATACAGTAATTGTTTATGTTTATTAAAATTGAAGAAATTATTTAAAAAAATATTATATTATATTAAAATATTAAAAAAGAGCAAATCTGCTTTAAACAATAATTGCATAAAGCGCAAAAGAGATTCCAAATAAATTACTATTCGATAACAAAGTACAATTAAAACATATATTTTGAATAATATAAATGAATTGATGTGAATATTATTAAATTTTTAATGGAAAAGAAATTAGAAAAAAAGAAATAAAATATATTATATATTGTATATATTATATAATATATTATTTTGAAAATTGAGAGGGAGTATAATTATCAGCTTTTCTCACTTTTCGATGAATTTCACATTAATTTTTTTAGTCAATTGATTGCTAAACAGGCGATAATTCTTTTCTATTACGTTTGAGAAGTTGAAAAGATAGATTTTTCGTGATAACTACGACTTATGATCTTTATCTGTAATGATTTTATAAGGATGTCATCATTTGTGTGTTTGTTCGATTACCAAAAAAATGCAGACGTATCATTTTGATTTGGTAAACTTCCTTGAATTATTTTCTTTTGTAAAAAAAAATTAAATATTCAAATTTAAATATTCTCTGTTTGTATTTTTACAGAGGCTATATAAAGTAGTTCATTAGAAATTAAATAATTAAAAATAAGATGACTATAGAAAAATTATTTGATTCATTATATGATTCTATAAATTTAATTAATTTAATTAATTTATCATGTTCATTACAAAAAATTAATTCATTAAAAATATTTTGAAACATTTAAGAAATCATATCTTCAATAATCTTCAATTAATTATTATTGTGATTTATAATTTAATAATAAGTTATAATAATAATTTATAATTGCATATGTGTGTTAATTTTAATTAAAAGCAAAACGTAGTAATATTGAGATCAGTTCTTTAATGCTTGCATTTCATAAAGGTAAAAGAGAAAAATAAAAATGAGAATATGAAAATTTGATAATATTTTCAAATTTTACTTAATTTAAGTTTCATTAATTATAAAAGAAATCGAAATCGAGAAATTATTTACGAAAAAGTAATTTGAAAGTTTAATAGCTTAATAGATAATTAATGCTTAATTGCTTAAATTTGAAAACAAAATTAAATGAAAATTCATTCTTCTTTTAATATATATAATTTAAAAATGTATTAAGTATTATGTAATAAATATGTTTTTCATATGTATATTTTCAATAAATATGTTTAAAGATATTATAATAGTTTCGAAATGTTGATACAAAATATTTTTAAAGAATAAAGATAATCATGCAATTTGAAGTATCGAATAAGTAATGATAATTATAGAAATCAATAATCGAATTTCAAATGATATCTTTAAAATGGTAAAAATAATGCTTCATTCTAAAACAAAATGTGGACAAGATTTTCAAAACAGTTCCATATATGATATTAGTGTTTTCTTCAATGATAGCATCAACGCTATATAAAAAGTGAACACGCAGATAGAATAGTTGAAATCATGCTTTCTATTCTTATTCCTGCTGAGAATTGCCGAACATCGAAAATACATTATTCTTTCTAATACTAAAAGTTGCAAATTTCCATAGAAAGAAAATATATGACATTAAACATCATTCCCACAACCCATATTATATTAGAGACACACGTTATCGGATATCCGCTAAAGTCAATTATCATATTATCCGTATTATCATTGTTACATTAAGCAATTAAACAAAGATATATTATACAATCAGATTTCTGTTAAAAATATTTCATTAAATTGTGCAATATGCTCCTGCCTAATCTAATTAAATTATTTTCAGAAATAAAAGGAATAACATATTATTGAGCAATTCTGAATCAATTCAATGTATTACAAATATTACTTTGAAAGTGGCATAGAATCAATTATTATTTAAAATAAAAATTTATAATATTAATTTTAATATATATATTTATTTTTTTAAATTTTAATTTAAATACATATTTATAAATTATATGTAAAATATATTTATATAGTCATTAATTATTAATTTATAAATACATAATTATTTTATAGTCAATAAATAATTTATATTTATTTTGATATGTTCAGTAATTTTTTAACTTATATTGTTCTTCAACTTATAAATTTGTTAAGAAAGTAGAGATATAATTATAAAATAGAATTATAAAATATGAAAGTATATTATATATTTATAACTATATACCTTTATATCGTATATTTTATACAAAGTGTCTCAAAAATGTTCAAATAAATTCTTGATAATATAATTTCAAACAATATTTTCCTTTGTAAAAATCTTCAGTTATGACTTGTTATCTTAAATATTTTTTTAGTAATAAATTTTTCTTTATTTGTTTTATTAATTGGATACTACAAATAATACTCATGATCCACGCTAAATTTAGAGATTCTTTTATCAGATTTTTAAATATTTTTTTTTTTTTTCGTTTCGTATTTTTTTAATTAGCTTCATATTTTCATTCTCTTAATCGTTTATTTCTTAGATAACAAAGTAAAATATATGAATAATCTGAATAATATAATATTTGTTTTCCTAATTGGCTTTTTGAATAAAAAAATTCAATTAGAACTAAAATTTTTTGTTATTTAACAATTATAATATATAATATAAGAAGATCTTTTTATTATTATTTTAAAACTAACTATTTTAAAAATATAATTTTCTAATTTAAATTTTTAAAAAAAATACCTACGAAATTTTGATTTTTTTAAGAATATTATATTTTCATGATTTCGTAATTTTCTGAAACGAACAAATTTATTTTTTTAAAAATAAAATATGCAATTTTCAAATCAATCTTTTTATAAAATGAATAAAAAAATAAAAACAGTAATCAAGAAATTTATATTACGATAACAAAGAAACAATTCAATATAAATTAAAATAAAAGTAAAATAACAATTCAGTATATGTAATATTAATATAATATTTATTCAATATAATATAATATTTATTGTTCAAATATAATTAAAAATATCTATTATAAATATATTACCATCATCTTGATGATATTTATTATATAATTCTTTATAATTTTTTATTAATTTTATAATATTAGACAATTGAAAAAAAGTAATAGCAGTAGTTAACAGTAATGAAACTTAAAATGAAAATAGGAAAAATAACAAATGTTTTATTACAGTTGGGATAAATTTGATAATATATTAATAATTTTGATAATATAATATCAATAAAACATGTATGATTAATCTTCATTTCTATTAGTTTAATAAATATACAGATTTTGCCCGATAATTGAATCGAATACTTATTGATGAATACGGTTTAATATTTAATGCATAATAGTTTCTTTTTTATATCTATAAATTATCAATCATTATATAATTTTTTTTAATAATATACTTATATACTTTATAATAATTAAATTATATATTTTATAATAACTTTGGCTACAATAAATATAAAAAAAAATACATCATCACCGTATTACACTCTGTATAATATAAAATTAATCAACTATTTTCTAAACCATGTACCAGATTTTTAAATTAATCCAAAGACGAAAAGCAATCGAAAATGAAATTAATTTTTCTTTTTCTATTTTTTTATATTTATTCTTCTTTTTTTTTTAGTTTTTTCCTTCTTTGTTCTTTTTTTATTAATTTTTCTTTTACGAAGAATAAAAATCCAATGAAAATCAGAAATTATGTCATCGTGCGTCATTCGAATCAAATTTATTCATTTGCTAAATTCATTTTGCTAAGTTTGGTGAATTTTTAATAAATGATCAAAACTACAAAAAAATTTAATCAAAATTAAAAATTGATCAAGCTATATCAATCAAATAGACAATTCTTTATGGATATAATATTAATGATATATATATATATATATATATATATAGATGAGATTGTAAATAAAATATTAATAATATTAACAGATATAATAATAATTATTATTTATAATTTATTATTTATATTATAATAATTGTATTTATAATATATTATACATAGTACATTAATTTAATAACATTATAAAAAATAAATCATCGATCTTCTCAATTAACGATTATTCTCATTATTCGAAAAGATCGATCATTCATTTATGCTATCTGATAATATCAATAAATATAATATAATAATATCAATTCAATCACTCTTATTGTATATGATGACTTCCTGGATTTCCTCAGGCTTCATGTCTACATCGCCCCAACCCCATTTCATATCTTCGAGATTGTAGTAACGAACAGCTTCATTTTTACTATATCTACAAATTGAAATTTTAAATTTAAAAATTCCATAACTAGTGGTAAAATTTATTTTACAAACATTGACAAAAGAAACAATTCGTTTGATTAATTCAGATAAACGAATTGTTTTCTATTTCTTTTTTTTTTTTTTTATTAAAATATATAAAATGCTTATTTTTTCAATCCTTGTTCCAGTAATTATATTGCTTCCAAAATTGCTTTTAAAATTTTTTATTTCATGATTCTTTTGAACAAATGAAAATATTTCTTCGAGTCTTAAAAATTTCTACGTTCATACATATTTTAAAAGCTATATTGGAATAATTAATAATAAACACTATTTATAGTTAAATTAACTATTAACTAAGTTTTTAATTATTGACTAGTCTTTAGTTATTATGATTTAAAATATGTTAATATATGATAACAGTAGCAGGTACCTCGATCCGTCTCCAGTTTTAGCCGCTCGTTTTCTAATCATTTCATTGGGAGCAGTCTTCATGTCGTATGCCAATCCCAAAAAAGCGCAGAAATCGATGAACGCGGTGGTAAAATTGGTAGTATAGCTACCAAATTCACTAGTTTTATAATCCCACGGGAATACATGGTGATAATTATGCCATCCCTCACCGTGTGCAAACATTGACACAAATTTGTTTTCTACTGGACAAATGTTCCTGTAAATTTACATGAAAATCGAGAAATTTGTCTTCACTGATAATCATTCGGAAACCATATACATCTGATTGACATAAAATTTGATAGAAAGGGAAAGAAAGAGTGGAAAAATAGGAATCTTGAATCTAAAATTTTAGTTTTATGTTAATTAATTAGTTTCTGTGATATTAATAAAAGAAATTTCGGAATATAAAAACATTGCATTCTGACATCTATAAAAAATATTAATTAATTATTAACTAATTATTTTCATAGTCATCAAATATTAGATATAAGAAATAATAATAAAATATTAGCGATTGTTTATATATAGTTCGCATAGTAGCGCAATATTATATAAAATGTAATATTTGTAATTTTAAAAAGAAATAATTACAATGGAAAAGTTTTAATTTCACTTCAGATGTGAAATATACTGTAAAAATAATATAATAAATTTTTAAAGCGAATTAAAAACAATTAAGTATACGTATAATTGTCAATTTAATTAAAAACAAGTATTATAATTGTTAAAAATCCAAATAAATTAATTTCTTACATATCGTATGGTTTCATGCCCCAGATATGAGCAACAGAGTTTACCAGCCATGTTACGTTCAAGGAAAAAACGTATCTTGCTAGATTGCTATACCAGGAATATGTGAATTTTTCATTCCAAAAATGATAGGGTATCCATGTAGGGATTGCAAAGCACAAAAGGGGCATCAGCACAATATACAATCTGAAAAATATCAAAAAGAAAATGATGTAAACAGATTATTGATACGTAAAAGGAATAGAATATAGTATATTTGCTAGAATATATTTTTCTTTCTGTTACGAAATATAGTTCAATTTTCTCGTTTGAACTCTGCAAATTTCAACAGGGGGAAAGTATGTGTCATGTTATTCCCATTATTCATGTAAAGGCACATGACATAATACATTAATTTTGGTAGAAGTCTAATCATGTGATATACTTCTGTTTAAACAGTGAAAAAGTGCATATTCTCTTTCTGCAGCTACTTTAGTGATAGAAAGAATAATATATTGCCCGTGTCCGGGTATAATAACTTTCATTAACTCATAATTTTCAATATTTGATAAATTGTTTCTCTTCTTTCATTATTTAATGCAACTTATTTTTATATTAATATCAAAATTAGTCAAAATAAATATTGATTCATAAAATTATCTAACTAAATTTATATTTATATTTATTATTTATTTTACTTTAATAATTATTTTAATTATTAAAGTTCTATAATAATTATGTATAGAATGATATATTTATAAAATAAATTATTTTAAAATGTTTGTTATTTATTATTTTAAAGAAAAATATAAAAATGTTCTCTATATAAAATTCATAAAGTTATAAAATAAAACTTTATACTATTTATTTTCATTAGAATTATTATTTTTTTTTTTTTTTTTACACATTTTTATTTCAGATTTAATCAATATAATTTCTTTCGGAAAAATTTTAATCAACTTTATAAATAACTTACAATTAGATTAGTTTAAGGAAAATTCTATAATTTTATTCATTCAATGAAATATTATTGATATTAAATTAAATTGTTACAAATGTTAGTGAAAAGAATTAAAATGTTGAGTAAAAAATAAAATTATGTTTCACCTTCTTTGCCAAACGACGATGGGATCTTTTTCCAAATCGCTCAGGTCAATAGTGCCACCTCTTTTAGATATATCCGGATGCTTTCGGACCATTAACCAGCCTACATGAGAGAAAAAGAATCCTCGACGCGCGTTATGCGGATCCGCATCAGTGTCAGTGAATTTATGATGAGCTCTATGATCTCTCACCCATTCATAAATATGATTCTGCGGATCAAGATCGAAGCTTAAAATATTTTAATTTTTATAATACAATATTATTTGGGAAATTTTGAAAACACGTTGAAAGGAAAACACGATAATACAAAATCTGAATGCAAAACATTAAAATTGTTTCAATGTCAATAAACTTTTTTGAATTTCAATACTTTCTCCTATAAATATTTTGGTAAATAAAATTAATAAAAAAGAACAATTCATGATATTAATTTTTATTAACATTTTTCGAATTTCAATATTTTCTTTTATAAATACTATAATAGAATTTATAGAAAATTATAGAACTATAGAAATAATATTAATTTTCAATAAATCGTAAAAAAAAGAAAGGGAAGAAAATAAAAATTTACCTGGTAACAGATTGTTTGAAGGAGCATTAACACCAAACGTAAGGGCCATTTTGCTTTGTAAGCTCTATGTGACCATAATCTATGGGCACCAGCTGTGATGCCTAAGATGGCAAAATATTCCACGAAAATTGCTAAAAAACGTCAATTGATTTATGAAATTTTATTTTATTTAAAATTTTATTATTAATCTATTTACTATTTTTAATTTAACAAGATCTCCAATTCACAAAATTTAAAAAATTTTGATTTACTTATCCAATAATTAACGTAGAATAAATTAAAATATTTATACTTACACCACAAAATTGTATATATCTTGGTTCTGTTAGTAGCCCAAAGATAAAATCCATATATACCACCAAGATGAAAATAAATAAATACGATCACATTTTTCCAAACGATATTCCATTTATATGTCGGTTTAGAATTTGATAATTCTTGGGTTAATACTTTCTGCTTATCCTCTTTTTCTGTCGTCCATTTTTCTTGATCGATATTTTGTTGAAATATTTTTTTATTCGACATCATCGATATATCGTACAGATCGTACGGCGCTGTTGTGAACAATCTAAAATAGAAATTCGTTCGTTCTTGTAAAATTTAATACATTATCACTAATTGATAATTTTAATGTAATAGAAGGAAAGCTTGTACTGAAAATTGTAGAAATAAAATTTCACATAATAAAATAATATAATGGATAAATTATCGAAGGATTAAAAGATTAGCGTGATTAAAAATATAAAAATATAAGTTATAGACTCATTAAATAGAATAGCACAAAATTTGGAGATTACAATTGATTAAAAGTAGAAAAATATTTGTAAAAATATATATAAAAATATATTATTGAAAAAACATTAAAATTGTCTTTCAAAATACTTTAATTGTCTATTAAAAATAATTTGGAAATTTCAATATTTCAAAAATTCATAGTTATATAATAACTCAAGATTTCCAAAATTTTGTATTCTAATTTTTATTAAATTGTGATTAATAATATTATTTTATTATGAATAGATACGAAAATACGAAATTCCTTATCTTAGCATCTTATAAACTATTTCATAATATATAACATCTTATTTTTAATTAAAATCATTTATCATGGAAAATTTACAATTTTTTAAGGTTGATTTTGATACAGAAAAAGTTGAAAATTGAAATATTCCAAAAATTATATAAAATATATAAAATATTCCAATATTTTGTGTTCCAAAATTTTTATTCACGAAATCAAATGAAATCTAAAGCTGAATCAAAATCGAGACGAACAAATGAATCTTCTTGGTATTCTAGAGAATTTTGCTTGTTGTAATCTTCTAATTCATTCTGTAATAATTATTAAATGTTTAAATGACGTGAAATAAGAATATAATTACAGCACGATGGAAAAAGAAAACTTGAAATTTTTGTTCTTGATGAGAGATATTGATATTAAAAGAGTAATAGATAAAATTATTTCGAAAAATAAAAGAATATTGTCTTTGTATCGATAAACTCTAGCTATTTTAAAATAAAAAATTATTCGAAATATAATTATTTAATCAATCATATTAATCTGTATACTTATTTCTATAATTAATTAATTGATTAATTGATTAATTGTTATACATTTAAAAAAATAATAAGTAATAAAACAATAATAATTTATTATATTATTTATATTATAGACGAAAATTCAATTCATTTTTAAAAAATATAATAATTTAATTATTTTATTATTTTATGTTATTTTTTGGATGACACATAAAATATAAATAAGTTTATCGATATTTGTAATTTCTTAATTCTAACATAATTTCAAAAATCGGAATATATGTAGAAACACGATTATTTTCTATAGATAAAATTAATTAAATATCCAAGTCATCGTTTGTGGTCTTCAGCAAATAAATCTTCTATATTCTTATAATGATTTTAATAAACTCAACACATATCCAATTAAAAATTCTTTGTTTATGTTTGTAATAAATATCAATTTTTTATCATGTAATTAATTATGAAAAATTATAGATAATTATACTCGATCGGCTTTTATCTTTATTTTTCAATAATAAAATTCATTATTCACTTCGAATATATCTAATTAAAAATACATGTCTAATAAATTAATTTCTCTTTAATTCGAATTGTCGACCGTGTTTATCAAACGATGTATACATAAATTCTGCTATTTTATATTACGAGTGAAACCTGCCTGAATTTTTATTAATTAACTGCTGAAAACGAACAAATAATTCACAAATGAAAATAATTAAAAATGAAAAAAATTTTGTCATAAAAAGAGAAGAAAAACTAATGGAAATAAATCAATCAAGTAGATAAAAAAAGACAACTATAAACATCAAAACAAAAATAATGAAAATAAGTGGCTTGCAATTCCGACAATACAAACAGCAAACAGATATTGCATATTAAACAAGTCACAAATTGAGAAAAAACTTTTTCTGCCAACTTCACATAAAAATGTGTGATGGAATCAATCGTCAACAAGAAACAATACAGTTAATGGACACGAAATAACATAATTATTTCTCCTTTTTCAAATTTAATAGATAACAGATTACACATTATATACGCGGCAATAACAAAAGAAAAATGTAAAATAAAAAAGAAAAAAAGTGTATCTTTAAATAGTGATAGCATAATTTTGCTTTAAAAAATGAGTGAAAAATTAACAAACTTAATAGAATAACAAACATGCAACAAATGACAATGTTCATGAATAAGATCATAACACATATTTCATCAAATCAAAAATAATGCAATGCAACTGCTAAAAATAATATATAGAACTATAACAAAGATTTATATGAGAAAGAATATTAAACTGCAACAATTTCTTAATAAATATAAGAGAGATGTATACTATGAAACACGAAATATTATTTACTTATTTTAAGTTACATTCATTAGACATATACGTATATACAACACTAAATAAATCAGGAAAAGAAGAACAGTAATCTTAATCCGAAATATTCCATGAATAAAAGAAATATACATACAGAAATATTATTAGTCATTTCATTAGTATTAAAATATATTTAAAAAGACAACAAATTCTAATGAGATTATGCTACAATTCATAGAAGAAATATATACAATCGAAAAACAAAATAAATAAAACACTATCGAAACGAAATAAATATATAAATATAGAAGTAGATTTTAATACAAAAAATTACTTGGGATTAAATATAACAGTTTTATATAAAAAGTGATTGAAAATAAGAAACTAACTAGAATAGAACAATGGACAGAAATGCAAGTAGAAACAATAAAAGAATATCTCCAAATTTATAATATACATCTGCAACAAGCATACAATGCTGCAAGAATTCTAAAAGAATTTAATAACCATAATAATAATCAAAACAAAGTAGATTAAAAATCTCAACATAAAAAAGATTTCAAGATATCTAACAATTGGAAAAATTCTAAAAAATGTAATACCAGAAATCAAATCAAGTATAACACAATATTATTTAATCCAATTGTTCAAATCTGATAATTTCTAATTCATATAAATCCAAATACGTACAAATTTAATTGTTTCCAATATTCAAAAATTTAAAAACAAATTAAATTTTTGACAAAGATACCCAGTGAAATATATAGAATTGATATAGATTTATTATAGATATATATAGATATATCTATAATAAAATATCTATAATAGAATACAAAATTATTGCATTGCATTAATTTTAATTTAGTACTTTCGATCAAACCGAAAGATATAATATAATAAATATATAATAATATACATACAATAATCAAATTTAAATAAATATAGCAAATAAATTCATAAAATGCATTTAATTATAAAAACATACAAGAGAAATTACCTCTTTTTAGATATCGAAAAAGTATTTAATAACATATTTATAAAATATATCTATATCAGAAGAAGAAATATTTTCTTCTCTCAAAAGAAAATTAAAAAAATAATTAAGAAAATTAAAAAAATTGGTAAGTTTATTATAGATCTTCAAATAATTAATATTTTTTTTTTATTGTAAAAATAAGAATAAAATTTCAAGCATAAAATATAAGACAAAAGTACCGCAAAAAAATTTATCGATATATCTTTCAATATATATATATATATGTACATCAGATTCTCTTGAAGAATTAAAGAACTCAATGTTAATATTTGCAAATGATACCAATTTATGATATTAGATATAATTCTAATTCGGTGCATAAACTATCGAATAAACTAGATTTATTATATAAAATCAACCCAAAAAGCATAAACATATGCTTTACATTAAATTAACAAGAACAAAGATATATACAGAGTGTTCATAAAAATATGGAACAACTTTAGAGGATGAATGATTTATTCTTATAAAGAGAAAAATAATAATCGATATCACATATTAATAATATGAATAAATATTTTACATTAATATCACATATTCATAAAAAATGTATACTTATTACAATTGCTTTGTTTAAGCTTCGAATAAATATTACAAATTCACTAATTTCTTTTTTACGCTACTTTCTTTTATTTCTGATATGCAAACAAATGGAGTAGAATAAAATGGACAATCATCAATCAACCACAATCAGTGTTCACTGCTATTTTTATAATTGGCAATGCTATTTCAATAGTACATTGTCATGCTATGAGTTCAGAGTTTAATAAAAGAATAAATATATATATATATATATATATTTGAATACATGTTTGAAATAAAATTTTAATTAAACAATCTTCATATAACTTATATAATAATAAATAATAATCATTTATTGAAATAATTTTATTCAAAAAAATTAATGTGAATAAAATGTGAATAAAAATATTCCTAATAGTGATAATGTGAAATAGAAAAATCGAATGTTTATATAGTTCTTTTAATGGATACAAAGCGTGATATTAATATGATATGATTAAAATATAGATATTTAATTTGCTCCTATGAATTTCGATAAAAAATTGAATGTCATACAATGATTCATCTGGATTTAAATAAAATGTTTGTACAATGATTTACCTATGGATTTAAATAAAATGATATATAATATTAATATTCTGGAAAAACTTATTCAAGGTAAGTTTTTGTTAAATAATGAGTTCCATATGTACATTGTATATTACATTAAAATTCAGAAATATTCACTTATAAAAGAATATCGGTGTATTTACTTTTATTGAGAAACTCCGTTAGCAACATTGCAATACAAACAATATTGCCACGTATCTATATGAGAATCGTGATGGGTAAAATTTAATAATTGAAGTTATAAAGTTATGAAGAAACTTATTCCGGTAAGTTATTTTAATAATTTATTATTCAAAACGTAATAATCGCAAATAATTAAATAATAATGTCAAACAGGTTATGTGAAAAGCAGCAACTATAATAAATACGAATAAATATTAGTATTTTAATGAATAATTATTTAAAATAACTTTATTCAAAACTTTTAACTAGTTATTTTTTCGATGCTAATTCTGATTGAATGTTCTTGCTGTTTCACCGTGTCACTTTATTTAATATAAATTTAAAATGTTTATAACTCGATAAGACTTATCGACACATATAT